ATAATGGAATTGGAAACAAACCTTCCGTAAGCCCTACAGTTCCTAAAGTTGGATGGCTGAATACTACTGTAGCAATATTCTCATAAGGTAGATAGTTTGACGTCTCATTATTGAATAAGCGATGAGAAAGACGGCGACCAGCAGCAATAGCAACTAAAAACAAGTAAAGGCTTACATCGCTACCAAATACAATGAGCAAAAACGTTGATAGAAAATACACAAAATTGCAATGATTATTACGAATAGGATCACAATCTGTCAAGCCTAAAGCAATTTCTTCCGATTATAATTTTACCTGGTGTAAGCAAAAACTTCCCAGCAGCATCACCTATACATTGTATACTAGGATTCGAAGTGTTCTGATATTTATCAACAATCACATTTCCTTTGTCGTCTGTTTTAACTCCAACCTTAAGAAACTTACATGTATCTGGAGAAGCAAAAATGTAAGTTGTAAACAAACTTTATCGAGATGCAAATCTGCAGTGAGTGGAGTTCGTCCAACTGCCCAAATTAAGGTTTCTACTTCGTCAATGGTTCCAGTATTGGTCTTGATGGTCAAAAGGCCATCTGGGCGTTTTTCTACTCTATCGACCTAAATGATTAAGAGTACTACATGGATGAGAATAGTCGTACGTGCAGAAAACATGCAAACCTTTCAGTGGATTAGTAAAAAATGAGGAATAACTGCGAAGTGCAAAACTACAGACAAAGAATACTTACCAAAGTTCTTTTATGGATAGTAACAGGTCCTTTATCCATTGCCTCAGTTAAACCAACACTGAGAGTATCGTCAAAAGTACGCAATACCTGAAGTTTTTTGTGTAAAAAACATCACTGAAAAAAAGAAAAGCTGAACTGTCGTACATTATCATATCTTATGAGAAGATGTGTATCAGATCCGAGATTTCCTAAAACTCCTGCAAGTTCAACTGCTATGTAGCCGGCGCCAACAACAACGCTCTTCCTAGAAAAGATTTTGTTACGTTTGAAATCTCGCGTACTTTCCCCCAAAACAACTGCGAAACGAACTTCGGCAGATGGTCCAGCTCAAAGAAGCCATCACTGTCAGTGCCGTATTCGGCACCAGGAAGATCAGGAATAGTTGGAAAACCTGAGAAACTAAGATAGGAGGTTTCCGAATTACACGAAGGATGTACCTCCAACTGCGATGAGCGTGTTCTTCCCCTTGTACTTCTGACCGTTCACAACAACTGTGCCGTCTTCCTCAAAAGCAGCTTGCCCTCTTATGATCTCCACCTTCGACTAAAAATAACAGAAGAATACTTCCGTATGAAACAAAACAAAGGAATTTTTGACAATCTTCGAAAGATACCATAACACTCACACCGTTCAGATTGCTTTCATAGATACCATTCAACCGACGGATGTATTCGTCTCGGGATTTTTTGATGACACTGAATGAAAATTTACTTCACTTCTAAGATAAAACACCTAAACCGATACCTCCAGTCAAATTTA